TGCTTATCGTCAGGCATTTGCTACAATAGCTTTGGCTCCATTTGCCTTTTTCCTTGACAGGTTCATTATTTATTTATTTATTTATTAGTAATATATATATATATATATATAAGTGTGAATTTTGATTATATTATAGCTAGAGATTTTATATTGTATAAGTTGTTATTACTTATTTTCAGTGTTTTAGTTCTATATATAAATAGGACATGATCGTACGTTGCGAATTCGAATTGTTTTAATTCGAATACGACCCACGAGTTTCGAATTTTGAATTTGAATTTCATCTTCCAAATATTAAACAAATACGAACGAACACGAACAGTGTCCATTTCAAAGTCGAGTATTATTTTTTTTTTAATTATTATTGTTGTAATTGATTTTTTTTTTTTTTTTTTNNNNTTTTTTTTTTGTATAGGAAACAAACTGGTGGGATGACATATGGCCTTATGTGGAAGGTTTTCTTGCTTTCCTTGTTTGGGTATGAACCCAGCAAAAATGTAAATTACTTAGATGAAATATTAGGGAAATACTACTATCCCCGTTACGGAACCATTCCGTCAGGGTTTGTAACCGTCGGAGATAGTTGATCTAATGGTTGCAAATCCTGACGGAACACTTCCGTAACGGAACCTTAGCATCTCCCGAAATTGTATGTCCTTGCAAATTAATAAATTTATATATGCATAAATATATAATTTGATAAATGTTTTAATGTCTTTGCATTACTAATAATAATCAACATTTTTTTTCAGGATCAGTTTGAGTCTCAATCTCTATTCCTATGCAATAAATTATGTCTCTGCAACTTTTGCCTCAGCCAGCATTAACACAATCCCTGCCCTTACTTTTGTCATTGCTGTTGCTTTCAGGTATAATTACAAAATTTGAATAAATAAATAAATATAAAGAGAATTTGATGACTTTTAATAATTCACTTGTTATATTGTCCTCAATAATAATTGGGCCTAAGCAGGATTGAAAGTTTTTCAGTGAGGGATATTCCAGGGATGCTCAAGATTGTGGGCTCGGTGATTAGCCTTTCAGGGTCCATGGTTTTTGCTTTTGTTAAAGGGCCGGAAGTGAATTTATTGGGCTTGTCTAGCGGCGTCCAAGAGAAGAAGCCCAATAGTCATTTAGGATTGGACAAGGAGAAATGGGTACAAGGTTGTCTGCTCATGTTGTTAGCCAACATTGCTTGGGCCGGCTGGCTTGTCATGCTGGTAACACTCAGTTTATATTATTTGGTGATGATAACACTTGTTTATTTTATTTATTTATTTATTTATTATTGTGTTAATTAATTAATTAATTAATTAATTAATTAATTAATTAATTAGGGACCTGTGGTGAAGCAATATCCAGCAAAATTTCGACTCACAATGCTGCAGTGTTTGTTTAGCTGTATTCAATCTTCAATTTGGGCAGTGGCTATTGACAGGGACTTCTCTTCATGGATACTTCATTGGGATTTCAATCTCTTTACTCTCATTTATTGCGTATGTGCCCCCCAAAACTTTTCATTTTTCACTACTAGAAGAATAATAGATATTAATGGATAGACAATATATGGGAAATTGTTGCGGTCTCGTTACGGAACCATTCCGTCGAGGTTTGTAACCGTTAGGTCATCATGTAACCGTCGGGGATAGTTAATCTAACGGTTACAAAATCCGACATAATGGTTCCGTAACAGGATCGTAGCATCTCCCTAATATATGACATATATTAATTTTCATAGTAAAAATATGAATTTTTTTTTAAAAGAAAAAATATGAATATTTAATAGTTAGACAGTCTAACAGCAGTATTTGTATCAGTTCCGCTCACCTGCCCACGGTGGGCAGTGCCCACCACTTTATTTTTTTTTATTTTACATGAAAAACGTATTCTGAGAATACGTTTTTCAATTAATTAATTGAAAAACGTATTCTCAGAATACGTTTTTCATGTAAAATAAAGTGGTGGGTACTGACCACCGTGGGCAGGGATCAAAATTTGTATTTGTATATAACTATTAGTACAAAACGTGTTAATATTTTCGAAAAAATCGTTCCTACTAATGTGGTAGAGTCGACGCTGGGATAAAATCACGTTCGAATCAATATTCACATTGGGTGTGTCCAATCGTGTGCGATCCAACGATCGTCAACCTTTCGAATTTTCCTTTAAGATGACATATTATTATTTTGTTACTTGAATTGATTGGCAGGGTGTATTAGTAACTGGAATATGTTACTGGCTGCAATTATGGGCTGTGGAGAAAAAAGGGCCTCTTTTTGCTGCTACTTTTACCCCATTGATTCTCATTTTTACTGCTATCCTCTCAGCAGTAATTTGGAAGGAGATGCTCTACTTGGGAAGGTTGGTAATTTTTAATTTTGATATTACCATTAGTCACACTTTATTTTTTTATAATATGTTGTTTCAATTTAAAAGTATGCATATTTAATTAAAAAATTTGACTGTTAATATTGCATAACAGTCTAAATTTTGTGCCCTTAATTATAATTTATTTTCAATTGTTTTTACTATTTGGTGCAGTATTTGTGGAGGATTTTTGCTGGTTGGAGGCTTGTACTTTGTTATATGGGGAAAAAATAAAGAGGCTGCTGAAAGAGAAGCTAATAATGAGGCCAAAAGTGAGGAAACCAATAATGTGTAGCATATTTATTATTAATCATTATATTTATTTTGGTGGTATTCATTATATTACATGATGTAAATATACATATGCTTTTAGAAATTATCAAATGGGATTAATTACAGAATTATTGACCCTACCTTGCTATTACCTAATATGCTATTCCTTGTCATTTCATTTTATATATTTTGTTTTATTGTAATTTATGTTGGTAGCCAAACAATTTTGCCATTTATTGTGTGAACATATGACATAAAATAGTTGTTTGAGAAAATTGTACCTCGACCGGGTTGAACCACGCCTAGTTGGGTTAAACTGTTTTGATGCCGCTGACGACCTGCCCCTCCCGGCGGAAATCACTCTGACGCTCAAGTCAGTCCAACGTCCAGCAGAAATAAGTCGAGAGTAAATTCACGCGTGTATGTGTGTTGTGTAAAAAAAATGAACATGTATCCCTTTTATAGGTGAGGTTATGTATAGGTCGAGGACTTCCTGTTGGACAAGGAATCTTTCTGATATCTACCTCTAAATTAGGTCAGATATTTAAGATCATCAGAATCCTTATTGCTGCAAACTTCCTCATAACTTGGCCGAGAAGTTAGGCCCTGGACCCCTCGACAGTAACCTTTGGTCGAGTTGTCTAGGTGCCGAGGTGTCTAGGTGCCGAGATGCCTAGATGATCACATCCGCCGAGCTCGCCAATCTCTAGTATTCAGCCGAAGTGCTTATACCAAGCTATTCCCCGCCTAGCCTCTATGCACCTCAAAGGTATCGAGGAGGACGCTCGCGCCGAGCTCCTTCACCTCGTGAGCGACAATGCCTAACTGAGACTAAGCTCGGCCGATGATCGGTCCTTCACGAAGTGCTATTTATGGTCGTATCAATAGTAAAATAATATCTTATAGTTATAAATAGGTGGGTGAGCGAGTATGAATAATATTTTCTTTATAAATAATTGTGTTGTGACGATAAAGTTTTATTTAAACAATGTATTTGACAATATCAGTATAATAAAGCGAGAAACATATGATGGATGAATAGTGTAATATTGTAATTTAAAGAATGAATTTATTATTGGTATCATTCATTTTTATCCTCAACTCAACTTAACTCAACTTAATAATTAAAAATTATTTCACTTTAGGCTTCACAGCCCAACCTTACTACTCATCTTATCTTTATTTTCAACCCAAACCAATTGATTTTCGTTGTTGTTTTAGTTGTGACAAAATAATTAAAAAAATATTTAATTAAATTCGTAATGATTTAAAAAAATTAGAGAATTATTGAAAAAGAGAAATTGCAATTGGATTTCAAATCCTATCAAATGTGGTATGTAGTTATATAGAATGAAAAATACGAATTCTAGTATTTTTTTATTTATTTTAATAAATATTAACGCAAAAAAATATTATATTATCTAAAAAAATACACTTGTCCATTAGAAATGAGAGAAGTGCCTCATTTTCAATTGGATCGTGCATTTTTCATGAATATATATATATATATATATATATAACAACTATATGTATTTGGACCTTATGTATTTGGACCTTTTATATTTTGGATCTGTGTTATATTTAGCAATTGGGCTTAGTAGTTATTTGTATATTGGGCCTTTACTTTGTGATATTTGTTCAGCCCATTAGGTTTCATCTCTCCCCCATATAAAAGGGAGAATTAGGGTTGTACTGTACACTTTTGGTTTTTCAGATTTTCGTTCAATACAATTCTTCTTTCTTTTCTCTCATCTCTGTACTTTATCGTTCAATGAATCGATCACTTTATCGATCATATTATGGTATCAGTCGCTGAGTTTCACTCGATCTTTCGCTGATATATTTCCGCTGCATCATCCTTTTACTCGATCGTTGTTTTTGATTTTGTAGATCTGGTTTTCGTAACCCTAGATCTGCGAT